CAGTCCACATACACACACTCGCTCATATTCAGGCCATGTTGCGTCGCAATGAAATCGAAGTTAATACGAAAATTGTGTAACGCAGTTGCGTTGTCAATGTTCGTCTGTCCTGAGTTGAGTACACCATGTTAAATGGCATAGAGAAATGTCGTTATAGTGTTGGCTGCATTGCAATTTCCCCTCGAATCCAATCCATCTCTCTTCCGATTGAATATTTGAAGCACTTCTCATCTTTCGTCTCATTATTCTTTGAACAATTTTTTTCTTGTTGGTTGCTTTTTCTTTCGCTTTTCTATCGTCGACCGAGTGAGTGACTTCAGTTTGTGTGCTCATTTTTCCGTCTGATGTTTGATCACACACATCCATTGTGTATCGAAATATAATCGATCGCATCATCATCAACAACAACAACAGCACAAGACAGATGAAAAAAGAGAGAAGAATGAAATGATTTTTTCGTGATTGTATTTTTGTTGCCGTGTCGTTTCCAATCAACAGAAAGAAAGAAAGAATAGAGAGAGAGAGAGAAGAAAAAAAATTGGTACCATTGTGTCGTCGATGCTCAATTTTATCGCTATTTCTCGTGTGTTACTTTATCATCGGCTTCATATTTTTGTGTTAGTTTGTTCTTGTTGTTGCCATTTTAGAACAGTGACTCGACTCGATTCTCATTCTCACATCAAGACTCTGTCAAACGTGCGTGGTATCAGTTAATCGGTTAATTCAAACCATTTTTCTGATGCACAAAAACACACACACAATATAATAATTTGCGATGGCATAAGTTATTTTTGTTTCGGATATATTTCGTTCGAGTCGTTCGTCGTGTGTTCTTTTTTTCTATCCTCTCTTTCCTGGTAATAATAAAATGCGATGCATCAGTATTTTATCGTCTTCCTGCCTGCCTCAGTGCATTTGCCTCGCTCAATGATGAAAAGAATGAAAAAGAAGAAGAAGAAGAAGCAACAAACCGAGGCAAGCAAGCATACACATCGATGTATACTTGAGTTACGGCTTACTGAAAACAATACCAACTGATAACAAAGAATAAACGAAAACATAAAAGTTTTCACTCGCTCGAATTTGTGTAGTGGTATGTGTGTGTGTGTGTTGTTGTTGGTTGTTTCTCGAAAAGGTTTACATTGATAGTTGTTGTTGTGAATGGTTTTGCAGTGAAGAGCAGCAATAGCAGCAGCAGACGTACGAAATGCATGCCATACTGCATATAAATAAAATGTGTTTGTATGTGTGTAGTATACAAACCCGAGTCTGTCGGATAAAGAGAGCCAAACGGCAAAAAACGAAAGAATTAAAAGGCAAGACAAACGAAAAGGGAATAAAATTTTTAGATGATGTATGTGTTCACTGGCCGCACAGCTCAGCCCATGCACCAGAACGGGATGCAACGTGTTGCTGTCTCTGTTTAATCGTTCTTATTTTTTTTCGTTTGCTCTCTCTCTCTCTCTCTCTCTCTCAGTCTCTCCTTTCAATTCGGTTAACAAATAATCAGAAGAAAAACAGAAAACCTTAGTGCGGAACGATTGACGCACAGCAGATGTTTGATTTTTTTTCTTACATTTCTTAAGCTCTCGATTTTATTTTTACTACGTGAAACATACGTCGCGTTGTTCGACTATTGTGTGCACGGCCTAACTATCGTGCCTTGTTGCTTTGACACTCACTCACACACATTTTGCTGTGTGCTGTCTATCAGATTATGCCTAGTTCTTGCTGCTGCTGCTTTTTTCGTCTCTTTTTCTATATGAAATATCATTCGCTATATCCTTTTTGATATGAAGCAAACCGGGCAATCGGGACCAAATCGAAAGCAAACTAGTGAACGCTGAGCGCGCGCGCTCACTCATTCGCTCTGCCCTGACTCACAATTGTTTGCTATCACATTCAAATATGTGCAGCGATCTTTAACGATTATACCATCACACATAATTTGTTTTCTTCTTTAATATCGTTGTGTTCTTTTTTATTGCCGTTGATTTCAATTCAATTTTCTTTGCTTCGGTTTTTATTTTATTTTTTCCACTCTGTGTGTGTGTCGGTTTCATTCTTCTTGACTATTCGCCGTTTTATATAGTTGTGTATGTGCTTAATTTGTTGTTTGCCCCGAAACTAAAAGAAATAAAAATTTGTTTTCCTTATGCTATAATACTTTTGTTTTGCTGCCGCTGTTGTCGTTTTTTTCTGCTTTCTGTTGGTTTTGTTGTGCTTGGGTCCGCGTGTTAATTTCATTCAGTCGCTTTTTATTTCATTTAACTGCTGCACTTCTCCATTGGCCGAAAATTATTTTTTTTTCTCTTTATTTTTTCTTGTTATTTTCTCTAAAAATGTACACATTGCTTATTTTTTTTCCATTCTTCCTGTTGCTGCGGCTGCTTCTGTTGGTCGTCATGTTCATTGTTAATGGTCGAAACGTGTGCTGCTTGTGCAACGTGCAACATTAAATTGTGTGTGTTTGTTGCTCGAAATGTCGTTTAACTGCATGATAATACAGAATGGGAAAGAGAGGAGAAAAGAAAGACATTTTATAACAAAATGAAATAAACTGTATTCCAATCACACACTCAGTCAAGTCAGTCATCCACTCTCTCGCACACAACAACCGACGAGTAGTCGAATCGATAATTACGAACAAAAGAATAGAATGATTTGTGTTCGACGGCCCGAATGAAAAAAATAAAAACGAATAAAAAAAAAACGATGAAATGCGCGCCAAGATATGCTATCATGAGCATGCAGAAAAATATGAAGCCCATCGAGTGTGTGTGTGTTTGATAGAGACACAGAGCGAAACAATCGGCGCTCCTTCTAAGAACTTGTGTACAGTTTAAGTTTATTTCATTTCATTTCGTAAATTATTAGCATAACCTTTTCTGATGTTTGTTTACTTCGTTCGCTGAGCGTGGCTCGGCGTTGGCCACGATTTGTCCATATTACGATTTGTGTATGTGTATTGTTTTTTTAACGAGTTTCGTGAAAAACGCAGCGATTTTAATGATTTCATCGCTTTTGACGGACTGTAAGCGTTTTGCAATAAAAGCCGCAAGAAATAGAAGGTTGCAAATAAGTGTAAAACAAAAATCAATGCAACTCTTCTCCCTCTTTTTCCATTCTCCACTTCTTCTTCTTCTTCTTGGTCGACAACTCACTTTTCCGACTGATGTATAACTTTGATTGAGACGATCGAGCGCGCGCACATTCCATCGGCGAGAATATG